AACTGTAATTTTTATTATTGTTATACCTTCATCAAAAACAATAATTCAGTATATTAAATTAAAAAGGGCGATGCTTTAATTATTTAAAGCATATTCTGTGTTGAAATCAATAATTTCCAATTTACACAGAAACTGTTAACTTTGGATATAGGGAGTATCATTTTAAAGTAAATTTAATTCTGCATCCATTCATGTAATAATATACATGTGTACCGTTTGGAAATTTTTAGTAAATTCAACTTGAACGTCACAATATTGGCCACACGTTTTTAAACACTTTGTATGAATTTTTACAAATTTGACATAAGCTGGTTGAACTTCATTTCTTTTAAATTGTCCAAGCAAAATGTCGGAGATATTCTGTTTTCAAAAATCACTTGCATCCCTCAATTTTTTTCGAAAATTAATAATAACTTGAAAATTGTCACATTTTGGTCCATAGTACCTTATATGAAAATAGTCTAGAATTTGCCGTAGAATTAAAAAATGCATAAATATTCATTCCATTTGAAACAGAGCTGGTGCTGGCTTCTGGTATAACCAGAAATGTGAGGAAGCTGACACTGTTTTCATTCAATAGATCTTTGTGATAAACCCCTGTATACTAATTTTCAGATTTTATTTCTAACCTCGTTTCTAACTATTTGAGATAATCCTACTGGGGCCTCTTCCTGATACACCCTGTATTTTTACATAAGTTTTTTTAATATTTAAATAATTATGTTTTAATTTTTGCGTAAAGTTAAGTAATTAGGTGTCGTGTTTCTCATTTCTCATTATTTCGCAAATCAACGAAATCTGTATTACAATAATTATTATTGAAAATTATTAAATAAAATTAACAATTATTATTTTTAACTATATATTTATTGAGTTACTATTTAGGTATTATGCTGATTCAAATAAATTCAAGAAATTTTCCTAAATCTTTTCAAATTAAATCAAATGATATTCTTTCATATCAAACGACAGATTTGCAAAAAATATAATAACTTCTTAAAAACTGATTATATTGCGGAAAACTACTGCCCTATGGGTTATATACTCCGACTAGCATTAATTATACCAGCAATATCTAATAAACAGCTAATATTTAATAATTACACAGGCCGACAAGAGATATCTTTATATCTACATATTTGAGGTTATGTTACATGGATAGGTAAATTTGTTTGCTAAAACCATTAATGAGGTCTTAAAGTACTATATTTACTCTTTAAAACGCACTTGGATTTATCCCGATATCATTTTTCAAGCTACTTTTGACATTCAATAATTTAACATTTTGCGATACATTTACCGTATATATACCATTAATTTACCATATGAATTTTAAATTGTAAATAGTGCACAGGCTTTTGATTTGAGACGTTCATGTTTTTTAGGCACATTTTTAACCACTAAAATAGTGTCAAAAAAATAACATCCATGCCTTCCCAAAGTCTGTGAAAACCCATGACAAAAAGTATGGGCAGTTAGATTTAAAGATCATTGGCCTTTACTATATGCACATACACATTTCTTATGCAAGGGCGCATACATTTGAATTCAGAGGTGGTACTGACAATGTGGTTAGAATATATTTAGTATGTATTAATTACATGTCTTAAGTAACAGTTATTCAAGATACTTTATTTTGTTCAAAAGTTGAGAACAAGTACATGGATACATATTTAATTTATGCTAACACTTTTTAAGTCTAGGGCGAAGTTCTTTGTAAAATTGGGTTTTTATTTTTTTTAGTTTTATTGCAAGGAAATTTTAATTTTTTTTTTTGAGTGCATGAAAATTTCGACAGCCTTAAAGCAATGGGTCTTGTCAGTGTTACATACTCTTTATTAATCTACATATTGCAGACATTTATATACAGCTTACAATGTTATTGAAAATTATTAATCTCCTACAGTCTAGCAAAAATGCTGTTCGCAGAACACATGTTTTATGGATACTGGTTTCTATAAAAATGTAGAAAGTGAATAGTATCGTATGGTGTGTTAAAAAAAGTAAAATTAAATTTTAACGCTTATGTAATTGAAAACAATTGAATTAAATTGTATTATGGTGCAACGAATGGATTAGATGTAGTCAGTGCAGGACGGTTTGTAAATAAATGAATAATAAAATAGTTTTTTATTCAACTGTTTCACCTATTTTTTTTTAATTGTCAAAATAAAAAATACATATACAGGGTGAATACATTTTAAATGAACAAACTTCGAGAATCAGCAAATCATGACAATGTGTTATATAATTTTCTTTTTGGTTTAGTTACTTTGGCGAAAAGTAAAAAAGTTTATAAGACGAAAACAGAGATTTCGAAAGTGATGTGTTTTTGTATTTTTTATTTGTCTGCTTTATTCAATTCAATTCTGATTTTTGGGTTAGGCAAAACTATTTTCATAAAGTAACCCTTGACAGGTCTTTTTGGCGCAAGGGTTTGTTTCATTCATTTTCAAATTTTTTCATAGTGGCAAAATACCCAAAAAATAAAAAGATAAAAACTGTGCCACAAATAAATAGCTTAGAAATATCTAAGGATATTTTTGCAATTCCTTTGCATAATTCGAATTTTTCTCAAAAATTGTAGTTTTCTTTTCTTGTCGAATTTTCTTGAAAACACCTGCTCTTAACGATAAGTAACAACAGTATCTTTTAAAATAAAGAATACGTGTTTTCGCTTATTTGAAGAGTGTTTAAAAAATTATCAAAATAGAGACTAGGATAAAAATGATATTTAAAAAAAGTACCTATGACATGTATTGTTAAAAATGTTAATGTGTCTACAAAAAATGATAATTAGGTTTATTCATTCTCTTTCAATAAAACATTAAAAATTACCATTTTTAGTACAGTTAATATAAAATTTTGAGCGCACGCCTGATACAAACTTTTTTTTATTATTCTGACTATTATTGTTCTGCCTTGGTAAGCAAGGAGGTTGTAATAGATATTTCCATGAAAATTGTGTTTTTACCATTTTTCATTACTGCAAGAACCAAAACAATTTCTGGAATAATTTCATGCTCGTATCAGCATTATAAATTCAGTTTAATGTTTATCATGACTGATTTTAATTAGCGCAATGTAGCTGAAATTACTAATCGTAATAGGTATTTACCTAAATTTGTTAGATGCCACAATATAACTTGATAATTCGTAATAAAAATGCTAATCAGAAAAGACGAAAATGTTGATTGAAAATAACGGAAACATACTATTATCTCAAAATACGTAACTATTGTCAGATGCTTAATAGTGCACTGTTAGAGTTTTAGATACACCTATTCAGAGATACCCTGTATTTGTTATGTAGGACCTTTGACTATATACACTCTAGTCTCTATAGTCAAGGGTAGGACTAATTGTAAAGTATTTTCTACCAAAGCTGTACCTGATAAATACATTTTTTTTATTAAACTCTGACTACCATTGTTTAATAGGCCAGGAAATATAGAGTTATAAGCGACTTTTTGTTTCGGCAAACTGAATTTATCACTATAAACTGCGTTATTATTACCAGAACGTTTTGGCATCGCATCCTGTCATTCCTTATCACTGTCTAGTAACTCATACGACATCTGGAATCGGTAAGTTGAATAGTTTACAAGTTATGGGCTTATAAACAAATTAACTAATTATTAGTCTGGACGATTCCGAGGATCTTTCACAATCGCACTTTTTTTCATGGTAGATTTCATAATAATACATTGAAATTTATAATTTTTTTTTTTAATTTCAAATTTGCACCTGGAAATTTTTTAATTTTTGGCCTTAGTTGCAAAATGAAATATACGATGAACGAGCGTGATATAGTTATATTTTATACATATTAGCTTATGAAAAGAGCTTTAAGTTAAAAAAAATTGTCAAGATTCGTTGAAAAACAACGGAGTTACAGACTGTCAAATATATTATTTTCAAGCGAATTTCGCTTATTTAACGGCAGGACTATGAATATTATCGTCATTTTTTTCGGACTCGCTGTCACTCGCTGCTCCTACCCTTCCGCCGCGCCACGGCACGCCGAAAATCAAGCGACCCACTGACTTTTGACAATATTTCTTATGCACTTAACATACTTCGACAAATAAAATATTTTTATCTGGGAAAGTACTCGGGTTGCCGGTTATGACAGTATTTTTTTTTGCCGCTACCAACCTAATTTGTTTAACAATAGGCCGTCAACTTTGACAGTCTGTAACTCTGTTGTTTTTCAACGAATCTTGACGTTTTTTTTAACTTAAAGGTCTTTTCATAAGCTTTACGAATATGTAATAATATATAACTATAATCACACTCGTGCGTCATATATTTCATTTTGCAACTAAGGCTAAAAAATAATAGTCCAGACTAATAATTAGTTAATTTGTTTATAAGGCCATAACTTGTCTTGTAAACTATTCAACTTACCGATTTCAGATTTCGTGTGAGTTATTAGACAGTGATAAGGAATGACAGGATGCGATGCCTAAACGTTCTGGTAATAATAACGCAGTTTATAAATGTTTAATTCAAGAGTCATAAATAAACTTCTTCTGTTTGTAACTTTTGATCTAATCAATAGTTTTTGACGCTCGAGGGCTAGTTTTGTAGGTTTTTTGAAGGCGAAAAAAAGTACTTTACTGTTTTCTCGTTGAGATGAACGGAAAAAAGTTATAAGCGAAAAACGTGAATTTACGTAAAAATTATACTATTAACCACCCTGTAAACAATCTTCCTCCCATTTTTATGACTGTGGAAACTAATTTGTTATTGTACATAATATCTATAGTGATAAATTAAGCTTGCCGAAACAAAAAGTTGCGAAATGGTAATTTCCCAGCTTATTTTCCTGACCTATAACTCAATATTTTATACCAGCAGAAATATTTTAATAAAGACGCTTTGTATACTTGACTAAGACTCCCAAATGCGGCCTACACGAAAATAGACTTAGTTTTAGTGCGCACATTAACTAATAAGGTAACAATAAAAATTATGGTGTTAGTGGCTTAGTAATTAATTTATCGTTAGTGGAGTCGCTCGTGTAATGTTTTCACAAGCATACGTCATTGTTGGATTTAAATTTTATCAAGCAGATAAGGCCAGGAATTCAAGATACTACAACTAATTACCTGGCTGTGGCATATTGTCGCCAACCTTATACTAAACTATACCTACACCACAATAAAAACTGAAAAATCGCTCACACACTAATCAGCGTACGAATTATGAAGAGTAAAGTAGGGGCAACAAACTGATATCGGCTTGGCTACCTGCTAGTTTTTGATAAGACCCTCAGTTCACCGAAAGAGCTCAACCTAAACGTTTAATTTTCTAGTTTTTCAGAAACGCAGTGCCATTTATTTCCATTAATGCGGTTGGCGTGCGGACGGTAAACTGTTGAAAAGTATGATATGTGACAATTTTCTTTGTGACAGTGCTTAGTTGTGAAAGTGGCGGCAGTAGTGGAGAATATAATGTGGGGGTCATCTGGACAGCCCAAGAACAATATCTTGAGACACCCTTCGATAGAGTCCAAGGGATTTTTGGGGGGTAATAAAAAGTGGAACACGCGACCCGCCTCTTGGGCAGCGCCAAACAATGTCAGCATTTTCCCTGAGAGGAATGGGCCTGCCAGAAGTAATACTTTCTCCTCTGTAAGTTGATTTATTATACTATATACATATATCAATTAGTGTTAGTGTAAGGAAGTATGATTTTTAATACAATAGCAGCAATAACTTATTTAGCGGCTTTGCTTCAACCATAAATAATATAAAAATAGCAGATCTATGACTAAATATATTTCAAATAATTATTTGCCGAACTAATTGTTAGTTTTGATTGCTGAAGGAACATAATAAGGTTAAAATACAAAATAGCCTCCTTTCATTTTTGCTTTAAAAAATATTTATATCGCTTTAGTAATATTATGATGTAGGAGCGAATTACGTTATAACGTTTTTAAGAGGCGAAGATGATTATCTGCACTTAAACTGAATCGGATTTGTGTGTGATTTTGAGATATCGCTAATCTGTTTCAGTTTATTAATAAATTATCTATCTATCGATATAAAAGATATGATTACAATGACGGTATTTTCAGAAAAGAAGTTGAATTTTAATACAGTGCTATACTGGTAATGTATGAGTAAAATATTTTCTTATCATTTCGTCAGTCAGGTAGTTCTATAGTTATAAACACTGAACAGTAAACACAAAGCATAGTGTATGCTTTGTGATTATAAAATAATTGCATAACAACAGTGTGAAGCAGGTAAACACACATTTTGTACAATTAGTGAAAAAAGATAAATATTTCAAATTAAAATTAATTATAAATTGTGAATATTACACTTAAAAAATTACCATGGAAATAAATAAATTCAGTGATAGAAATTACAAGTAACTTTTATTAATAGTTATACAAATTAAATGTAAAATAAATATCATGCAATTAAATAACAGACTACTTAGTAGGACTTTAAACATTGAAGGGTATTATATAATAATATTACCCTTGGTCAGACATTCCTCGGGAAGTCACTGTCGACCTCGACACATTATTTTCATTATAATTAGTCACAAAAATTAAAGGATATTAATAATAATCCTAAATTTTTGGGTGATTTTACAATGGCTGATACTTAGAGGAAAATGGTCGCAGAGAGAATGAAAAAAAAAAAAATGAAATTAAAGCTTCAAGTTTTATAGCGTCAGTGGTTTTTCAGTAATCATAAGGAAACCAGCGAAATTTTTTTTTCCAAATTTTTGTCTGTCTAAAATGGTCTGTGGACTTCAGTAAATTTTGTTTTGCTTGTTTCACCGTAAAGATCTTTTAGATAAGTTAATTCTCTTTAATTTGAGCAGTTCCGCAGTCCTGTACCTACGATAATGATTTGTCGCAGAGTTATCGTCGATCAAAGCAAAAAGTCATTTTTGAATTTGGCAATGAATTACTCTGGAAATAAGGACAGTACATAAAATCCAAGTAGGGTTTTGAACTACCTGTAGTATTCTCTACAGGTAGTAATTATTGGTTTTGGATATAAAAATTTTTTTCGAAGTGAAAATGTTAGAAAAAATGTAAAAAATTGCATAATTAGGAATATTTCCATAACTTGGTAAAACATTGCAAATAATGGATAATCTAAGGATATTGACTGTAACTTTTTAACCTCAAAGTGTCCTAAAGAAATTTTGATGGTTTCAAATTTTTTTAAAAATGTTCGTATTTGCTGAAAATCAATTTTGGTTCATTTTTTTACTGCCTTAGTTTTAAATGTCAATTTATAAATTAACTAAAAAAAGTTGATATACCCCCCAATGGATCTTAAATTTTTACCGAGTTGTTCAAAGTCTAAATCATTTACACAAGTTTTCTTGTGTGTGTTTTTTTTCTGATATTGAATTGATTTTAGATTAATTAAAAAAAAACTTTTTTAAGAAAGCTTATGTAAACGATTTAGGCTTTGAAGAAATTTGTGGACTGAAATACAGCCATCCATTGTGAGGTATATACAGGTTATATTCATGAAACAAAATTTGGTCATAGATTCTTAAGGCGAATTTAGGGGACCCGTACTTTTTCTTTTTGCCAACTGGCCCCCTCTTTCGGAGTTACAGCCCCCTGAAATTTGCCCCTAAGTAGTCCTTTTTGTATCTCAAAACTATGTTGTACGATAATCACTAAATTTGGTACACAGGGGTTTTATGATATATAGAATCTCACAGTGCTACGCTCTTTGGCGAGAAACCCCCTTAAGACACTTTTTCGTGGGTCCTCTTGTCTTTGGAACCAGAAAAATTTGGTCGCAAATTTGATTTTTTTTAAATTATTAGTTAGCTAGATAGCCATTGAATTTAAAAACTTGTTTGTCTCTTGATATTTGTTTCGTAAAACGCAATGTTTTTGAGGAAAATGGTGAATCACGATATGCATTCGATCACATTTTGACATTTTTCTCGAAAACATTGCGTTTTACGAAAAAAGTATAAAGAGACAAAAAATTTATAAATTTAATGNAGTCAGAAATGACCTTTTTGCTTTGATCGACCATAACTTAGCGACAAATCATCGTACCAGGGCTCCGTAATCGCTCAAATTTGAAGGGAATTAGATTATCTAAAAGAGCTTTGAAGTTACCCAAAATTTATTGAAGTTCATAGATCTTTTTAAAGACAAGCAAAAATTTGGAAACATTTTTTCGTTGGTTTCCTTTTTTTTATTCTTGCTACAACCATTTCCCTCCAAGTTACAGCTCTTTGAAAATCACCCAAAAATTTGGGACCTTTTGTGACTAGTTTATTATATATACATAATATACTTTTACTATAGTAATTTAATTTTCTTAGATTATTACTTAATAATTGTCACCTTGACGGTTTGAAAGTCAAAGTGACATCTAATAGGTACATCAGTAGATAAAGTAGATATAAAAAATCTATTATTGGCACACGTGTGAAAAAGATTTTGCTTGCTTTATACTTTTGCGCACGGTGGTAAAATAATCAGTTAAATCTGTTTATAAATAAGTTTATTTAATTATCGTAATAAAGTAAATTGCTTAACGTTATCGATTTTTTATTCTGAAAAGGAGAAAATATGTTGTTGGACACCGTTAGTTAATTTAAAATTAGAAAATTGTACATATTTTTAATATTTACCTTTAGCATTTATTATGGTAAATAAGAGATATTTTTTATCATTCTTTAATTTTAAAATTTATCTAAATTATCAGAAGCTCATATCATTAGTTTACTTACCAAAGACTTGGTATAGTAAGTGATTTAACACATTTTTTCTAAATAAGTGGGGCCGATTTACATTAATAATATTGTAACGTAGATGTGAAGTAGATGCGAACTTAACCTTCAAATTTTAAATACACCTCCGACATAAACAATGAACTTACCCTGGTACAAACTTCAAACAATAAAAGTCCAACCACAGCTATCAATAACCATATTTATTATACTTTACTTCGACGTTTCAAGCTTAACGTTTGCTTTCTCAAAACAGGCCGCTCTTTCCGGGTGATAGTAGAGTATATCTCCGAGTAGATACAGGGTGTCATCTACCGAATGTTACATACTAAGGTATAATCTAGAACCCAAATTGTGTAGATTTCACCAAACTTGTATAAATGAAAACTGTCGCAAAAAAGTTACAGGTTAAAGTTTCTTTTTTTTATTTCTTATTTTCTCCTTAACTCAGAATCCAGTTAACCGATTTGAGTTTAGTTTCTCTTCATGAAATATGCAGTGATTATGTTCCTATTAGGTTAAATCATACGTTCATTTTACTACAACCTTTTGTGAACCTTCTTCTGTAATTTTTTTGTATGTTTCAATTTTTACATCAACTATCAGAAATACGAAGAGAATTTTATTATACACAAAAAATGTATACCTACCTATCAAAAGTTGAAATTATGCTCGGTTATGAAGATATTACACAAAATATTTATTGGAAATAACTACATATCCGAATCGGTCGATAGCCGCATGGTTTAAGGCGTCAGTACTTAAATCGTGTGCAAATTCTGCCTGAGTTCGATTCCCGCGGCCGTAGACCGTAGATTAGCTATGCTTGTACGGAGGATTGGCACCCTCTGTGCAGGTATGGCAGGGTGGAAGAATGTTGGCTTGGGTCAATGTGAGAGTTTGACACCGGTTGGCATTTGACCACCCCCTTAATTAATGAGGTTTTCCAGGTTTCCCTCATTCCTGCATTGAATGGTGGTTAGGGCCTACCAACATAAGTCGTTCCTGGGCGCAAATGCGGCGTGCCTAATAATAATATGCCGCCCCCTCTCCCGCACAAGTCTCCGACTTATGGGCAAATTATCATAGTTAGAATCAGGAGTAGATATATGATTATATTATTATTATCCATAATAAAAATAATAAATAACATAATAAACTGAAAGGTGGCTGTAACAAAAAGTATACTAATTTATTTATTTATTTATTTATTTATTTGATACACCATTCAACAGAACATATCCAATTACTGAATGGGTGGGAACACAATATGTAATATAAAAAAAAAGAAAAATGACAGTAACCATTGGTAAAACAATTCGAAGACAAAAAAAAAACTAAATAAATTTAAAAGTAATAAAACTTAATAAACTATTTTACATTAAATAAAATAACACTAGTCTAAAACAGTCATATGCTTTAGTAAAATACGATACACATTATACATATACACAACATAAAATGAATAACAAAACAAACAAAAGCCAATTAAAATAAGTTTGTTATTGACTTTATTTTACAAGAAAAAATGTCAATATTAAGTTGGAGGCTGTTGCAATTTTCACACATGACATAAATTGGTGATGACAATAATAAATTAGTATTGGGCATTGCGAGGTACGTCATATTCGAGTAGCGTAGATTGGCGCGAGGCACGTGGAAGTTAAAACGATCCAAAATTTGAGGACAATCATACACATAATTAATGATTTTATACAAAAAAACAACAGAGTGCATATCTCGACGTGTCTCTAAGGACTTACAGTTAAACATGTCCAAAAGAATATTGTGGGAAAATCCAATGTTGGGATATATTCCTTGAGTTCGGAAGTACATATATTTTAAGAATTTTCTTTGAATGTTTTCTAAGTTATTTTTATAGACTGCATAC